ATTTCTTAAAATCTGTATTAATGAGAAAAAGTCTTTTGAACTGTCTGACTATTCCCAGATTTTTTCCAGTCTTAATTTCTAGTGCTTTGTTCAGCCACATTTCAAATATTTCAAGAGAGAGGTTTTTCTCTGAATTAGGTTTCTGAAACTGCTTCACAGGCTAGTGCATGGCATCTATTTTAAGCATATCTTTTGAGATATTTTTTATACTACACTTGTTTTCTTTTTAACAACTTCAAAACCTTCTCTCCCCCAGACACCTCATTTTGTTTGCATCATCTCCTTTGAAGTCCTGCTAGAGAAAGTTCACTTTTATTAGCTGCTGCAGGATTTTTACCCTGCTCTTGGTGGTTCTTCTGTGTTGGCCAGTAGTGTGATCAGCACTCCAGAAATGTCAGTCACATTATCTTTTCACAAAGATAATTTCTGATATGTGTTCTGTGTTTTTTATTAAATAATCCAGTACCAAAAGTGAACCCTGTATTCTAAGAGTACTATCAAGGCAGAAAATTTATCACACTTGACCTCACTTCAAAATAAAGGCTATGAAATCTGTCCCTGATGAATATAACATGGACAAGTTTATTTATATTTACTACCAGGAAGTTATTTACAAAATTACAAATTTATTTGGTTTTTAATTTACAATAAATAACAAATTTATTTATTCTTGTCATGCAGTTCTAAGGTAGGTCAAAATTTCAGTTTAGCCCTGTTGGTATGTAGTAAATACATCTTTAATTCTAAAAGTATTCCCAAGTAAAATGGCTACAATACCCATGAATGAATGTATTGAATTATAGAAACTAATTAAATCAAATCAATGAAGTAATTACATTTCTTAGGGGAAAGTATCTGATCAGATTTGACAGCAGGAATGAGAAGAAGGCTGAAGGCATAGTCCTAAAAGGCACATGCACATAGAGCATATAAGTACATGCAAAAAGGGAAGATATTTAAATCAATGGACATGAACATGTATCTAAAACAAAGCAGTATGAAAACTGAAACAGCAGATGGAGCATGCAATGGGAAATTTGTCATGCAAAATTCTATAACTGCAAGATATTCAAAGTTGCCAAAACTCCAGCTTTATCCATCATTTAATTGTTATGCAGACAAAAGTCTGAGCTTTGAGTTTGTTTCTCCTTCATTATCTTTTCTACCTTTCACTATTTCTCTGGTTTTGTGTCTTCTTGGTTTGCCTCTTGTCTGAAAAGATTGTTAATTAGATAGTAAAGAAGAATCACCTACTGCAGTATTTTAAAAAATACTGAAGGAGAGTTGTCGTAGACAGTATAAGGCTAAATAATTTACGGGGTTTGGAGTGGTTCATAAGACCATGTGCTAGAGGTGTAATTTCCCAGCAGTGAAATTGCAAGCAAGAGAGATCATCAAAAGCCAGAATCATATTTATTATTCTCTGTCAGTTTGTCAGTTTATATTATTTTCTTTTTAAAAGAGAGAGAACTGAATTCAGTTCAAGCTGAAAATTCCCTCCTTTTTATTCTTCAGAAGGAAAATCTAGTACATTAATCGAATTTTAAAAGATCATCAAACAGAAATTTGCTGTAACAAAATAAACTATATTCAGATCAAGGAAAGAAATATAGGAAATTGTTTAAATAAGCCTCACATTTTACTTTCAAACTATTTAATTATTTCCCTCTCATTTATAAGAGTTTAATGAAAGGTTAGATAGATTTTTTTTAATTGTAGTTGGTACAGTGGAAGAAGTCAGCAATAGCTTGACATAAAACCTTGGGGCGTACTTAACAATTACAATATTTAATCTCTTTCCCTGAACTGCACAAATCTCCTGAGAAACACAATAAAGCCAGATTTATGAGTCAAGAAAAGTACAGTTATGGAGGTAAATTATGTTGGCCACATACCACATATATTTTTAGAATGAAATTATTCAAGATCAGAAGTGTTCCCTGTCATGTAGAGTCTCAGAGGAAAGATGCATGCTAAAGAAAGAAAAGTTTGAGTGGATATTTCTGGTAAATGTAATTGGCTAACATCTTAGATTTTTAATGAATATCCCTTAAGACACCATTTCTACAGACCTTCAAGGATGGGAAAGGTAAAATGTTGCTGGCAATGCTGTGGCAAAGAACAGAGGAAGCTACAGAGGGACAAGCTAGAGAAACTCAAAATGTCATTCCAGTCTCTGCTTCAGTATAATTCTCTGAAGTATAGAATTCTCTGAACCTGAAAGTAGGTTGCCTTTTCAGGCAATGATTCTTTCAAACAGTGTGGTGAAACCAGAGCTTATTAAGCAATGGAAAAAAAGAAGGACTGCCTTTAAAAGAGGCATGTAGATCATGCATTTCTCTAATAACAAAGGCTGCCAGCTTATTTTGAAGTAAAAAATAATAAATCATATCGATTTTTGCAGAGTATCCTTAATTCTCCTCTAACATCACAAAATTTAAATGCAGTCAGGAAATGGGACTTTCAGTCTTCAGAGCTTCAGACTGAGCACCCAGAGAGCTGGAGTTGTTGGCATTTCCTGTAAAAAAGGGGAGTGCTTTCTTTGCAAAATTGGTATAGTTTGAATGTCTTCGTTAGCCAAGGAAAAGGGAAAAAATTGTTTTACATGTTAATAAGCCATAGAGTTAGATGACCTTAAATATGTATTTGGTTATCCATTATTTATTAATCTTCTGAGGAAAAAAAAAAAAAAAAGGCAACATCTGACCTGTACAAAAATACAGGTTTTCTCTTTAATTCCTTCAAAATGTGTCCAGCTATTTTTTTTCTTTTCTGAAAAAAAAAATTGCCAGCAGAGCAGAAAGAAGCCACTGCCTCTTTTTCTAAATCTTGAAATGCTGCATTGTTTTCTCATGCTCATGCCCATCTCAGGGTAAAGGCTGTTTATTCTTCCTCCTGCAGGTCTGGGAATGACACAGATCATATACCATTATATGCTTGGAAGAGGAGGTTGTAAAATACTTTTGTTACATTTTCTACATTGAATAGCTATAATATTATTTCTATGAGTATCTGAAGAATTCACTGATGTTTTCTTTATTGTGCTTTGAATCCAAGTAAAAATACTGCTCTTTTGCATGCTCTTATACAACTCCAGAAGGCTTCCCAAAGACAAGAAGCATAGTAGAATCATAAAATCATAGAATCATCAAGGTTGCAAAGATGACTGAGGTCATTGAGTCCAACCATTAACCCAGCACTGCCAAATCCACAACTAAACCATGTCCCCAAGTGCCACACCTACACGCTTTTAAAGATCTTCAGGGATGGTGACTCAAACACTTCCCTGTACAGCCCATTCCAATGCTTGATAACCCTTTCAGTAAATAAATTTTCCCTTATATCCAATCTGAATTTCTCCTGGGGGAACTTGAGGCCATTTGCTCTTGTCCTATTGCTTGTTACTTGTAAACTTATTAGAAACCATAGAGACAGCGGCCTATCTGACTACAGTCTTTTTGGGTAGCTGGTAAGAGAGAGAGATGTTTTAGAGGGCCCTCATACCCAAAGACGTGACAGACAGGGAGATGCCTCCTCAATTATGGATTGCTCCTTACCTAATGAAGGGTGGAGTTTCATTTCGCTGTTCCTCCCATTCCCCAAAGGCTTTGGTTCCAAAGGCAGTGTGGCTCAGCAGTCAGTATTTATTTAATCTTATTGAGCTCTAGCTCTGCCTGCATCAGTGACAGCCTCTGTGCCCAGGGATAAATAATTTTGTATGTGTATCTCTGACACTCATGTTTGTTTCTGTTTTCTTGATTGAACAGAATTCTTTCTTTCTATATGTTTGTATGTGTTTAGTTATGATGAAAAGCTGATTTAGCTATGGATAATTGACATAAAACATGATAATCCTAGACCTGACCTTCTCAGACCATGCATTTGTCTCTCAATTAGAGATTACACTATTTGTTTCTTAGCAGGTGACAGAACTATGAATATCTCAGTGGTTTTTATTTGATCTAATTGGAATACTATTTTTTTCTCACAGGAGATGTTGTTACACTGGTAAAAGATGGTACACTACTCTTGATCTCCATTTCCAGCTATTAATTTTCCTGAGCTTAGGACTAGGAGGACATATGTTTGAGTCCTCAGTCCAAATAGCATGATAATAGTCAAAAATAAATGTATGAGCCTTAAAGCTTAATTTGCCTTTTTTTTTTTCCCCTTGGTTTCTAAAAGCCCTTTTCTTTTAAAAAACATACCTGGCTTTTTACCCCTTTTTTTACATTAAAGAAGGAAGTAAGACTTAAAAAGAATTAAGTACATTGCCCAAAATCTTCTGTTCAGTCTGGCAAAATCAGGATTAGAAATCAGCTCTCTGGTCTTGGATATTTATGCTTGACATAGTAAACAATTACAGTATTCCTTCTGCTTTTCCTACCTCTTTGCATAAGTCATTGGTTTAACCCTCTTTATCCTTCACTTCCTTTCATTTTCTTTGTAGTCACTCTATTCAGAAACTTCCTACATATTCTGTGTTACATATTTCAGTTTATGAAAAAGGTGTAAAGAGGCAAAAGGATCTGCAAGGTCTGAACAAGATCTTCAGTGGCAGGATCTTTTGAATTCATTGAATAGAACTCTTCCAGTAGAATGTGACTGCGTGTTCTATCAGCAATACCTAAGTGTTTACATTCCTGCTTGACTTCCATGCCGTGCAAATGCTGATTGCAGCTGGGAGAGGACCGCTCACGGCATGGGTGGCACAACAGCTCCAGCAACAGCTCCACTCAGGTGGCACCGTGGCTGCTGCCCACCTGTGTCACTCAGGTCTCAAATGAAGTTGATATCCATGGCATAGAAGGAGTTTTTGTCTCATGGGATTTCTTTAGGAAGATACTTCAGTGTGATAATGTGCATTAATAATGATTGAAAGTGAAAAGTCACACATTTCAATGTGTCAGTCACACACATGCTGGGGTCAGTTTCCTGAACACTCAGCAGAGTGGACCAGATTGGATGGTATTCATTTCTTGTCATTTACTTTTTTCCAGGAATGCCCCAGTGGTGTTGTCAATGAAGAAACCTTCAAAGAGATTTACTCTCAGTTCTTTCCACAGGGAGGTAAGTACTTGGCAGACATAATTAGTACTGCAGCATGTCTGCTAGTTCCCAAGTCTGACAAAAGAGCCTCTTGCTCAAATTAACAAGAGTGCTCCCTCAAGCTCTGTCTGAACTCAAGAGGTACTTCCTTGATAGTTGGACACATTTTTAAGTCTGAATTTCTCAATGAAATGCAATGGTGTCTACATGAAGTCAGTCTTCTGTTATGAAGGAACTACCTGTAATGGGTACCATTAAAAAGCAAGTTTCTCTGAGTAGATTACTTTTCTTTAAGCTTTCTAAAAATTCTTGCCCATTCTCTTTTACTCAAAAAAACCCTTTCACAGTAAGAGGAACTGTAGGAGGCACTGCAGGTACCCTCTCATATCAACAGCAGAACCCTCCATTTAATTCTATGGCATTTCTCTTCTTAAATGCTAACCTTGATTTCAATTAACTGATTTCCAGGAGTTTTATTATTTTTCATTTCCATTATCATTTAGTGCAATGAAGGTAACACAAAAATGTGTAACATTTTGGGTTTTTTTTTCCTTGAACCTTATTATTCTTTCAATTTGGATTTTTTTTCCTCTCTTTTTTTCCTCTTGCATTTGCTATTCAGTTACCCCTCTTCATATTCTCCTACAACCCTTCAATCCCACCTCTTCAACTTCTCCCAGAGCTCTTGAGATTTTTATATTTCTCTGGAACTGTTCAGAGCTCCTTCTTTTCATTTTTTATTTAAAAACCCATATAAATTGGTAGGAACAAAATGTCTCCCCATTAGTTTTATTTTGAATAAAGACCTAGAAGGTAAAGGGCAGCATTAATTGCAGATTACCATCTCTGAAATCATTAGGAAGCAGGCACACTCAATAGGAATGAACAAAAGGCTAGAAGGATTGACCTGCCTACTGATTGTTTCTCTTTGTAAACTTTTAGACCAAGCTAACAATTACAGTTTGAAATATTATATTTTGTAGTTACCCTTGGGTAGTGAAAACAATTCTATGTGATTTACTACACCTTTACTACACTTAATAAAAAATCTATCATATTTCCTGTTGTCTCTTTATGGGCAAAGAGAATGCACATCTGTTCTAAAAGTGAAGTCAAAAGATATTGTGAGAGTAAATGTAATCTTAAAAGACTGATCTGTATTATTCCAGATCTAGTTGTTACAGAGAAGAAAAACTATTAATGTAGTTAAAATAGATACATATGGAATGACTAATTTCTACCCCTATTCCTGGTGTTAATGCTGATCCTTCTGCTCCTCTGGCATTTAGGGCAGTGGCATCCTTTGGAGGAGGAGGTGAGAACTGCACTGGGATGTCTAGTTAAGAAACCAGACTGAGTTCTTTATCTTATTTTTATCTTTATCTTAAATCTTTAAGGTCTTGTCAAAATAATGTGTCCAGCTGAGGCCTTTAAATTTCAGATGTTCTTAAAATAATGATTTTATGTATATCCCAGTATTAAAGAGGAAAGAAGAATCCTGAAAGATTTCCCCAAATTAAAACATGTAAGTCTGTGCTCCAATTGTCTGTGTCATGAAAAACCAGGTACAACACAATGTATCATTATGACAATTCATATATTCAATACATAATTCATATCTGAACAAACAAAATTATGTCTATAAGATTTTAATCTTCAGGACAACCAAAGAAATTTTTCAATGTCATCGAACAAGTCACTTCCTCAAGCAACTTCCAAGACTGTCCAGGACAGGACAGGTACAGGAGGATTACAAATAGCACAAGGTGCCTCAAGAGTTACAAAGGAAAGGAAATGACACTGGATTGCAGCAAAAGCAATGTATTTTAAAAGGCAAAAGTAGCTTTGTCAAAAGCTTTCCATGCCAGAAAGGGCACTCCAGGAACTTCTTTTTAGATTCACTGCCATACAGGTGAATGAATATACCCCCTGCATTTTTGCAGTGGATCTCCTGAAATTAAAGTTGGGATTTTTCTTCAGGCAAGCTCGCCATGGTTAAGAATTCACACACTGAGTAATTATTACACTCTTTGATCACTTCTGAACAAATTAGATCATGCTTGTAGTTTGATAAGTCATACTCTTCCCTGTGTAATGAATGATTAACATTTTTGGTCTCTGATGTTTAAAATGCTTTGATGGTGTTTTTCAAGGGAATTCTGATTTAAGAGCAGTTCCTCTCTCAACCTGTTAAAATAGCAAATTAGCCTACTAGTTATGATTTTTTTTTTCCCAGAGGAGTTACCAGAAAAAATATTTTTCAACTAGGGACTTTTTTTCATATACCATCATACAAAAAAAGTAGTATATTGTATCATGTATGTGCAACATAATTAAAATCCCTTTCTGTTTTCTGTACATTGACAGAAAATAATATTTCAGATTTTTTTTAAGAAATGGGTGCCAAGAGAATAGGAAGGTATTTAAAATTCCTTTTACAGTAATTATACCTCTGTAAGACATTTTTTCCCTGAAGATGATTTCCATAGTATATTCTGTTGCACAACAGAAGGCTCAGTAGATTATAGAAAATATGACTATTAAAATGCTAAATATAAACTGTAGTCAACAAATTTACATTTTTCAGCTGAAGTGTGATTGTGTCTGCCAAGCTGTGTTTAAGCAATTACAGTGGTTACTGGACACGTGGAAGAACGGATGACTCTCTCAGATAGTGGTGGTGGGGATTTAATTCTCTGAAAACGTGTTAACAGACAGGTTTTAAAGATTGCAGTTTTTTCTTGTTATGATTGTCTCAAAAGAAACATATTGAAGTAAGACTAGAGAGTTTTCTTACAAATATCAGGTCTTAGTCTGTGAAGCACAAAGCTTTGAGTTTTGTTTTACTTATTTCCTCAGAGTCAAGGTGGCATTTCGCTGAGTGTTACCAGACTATTGCTCAGTTTAATACAAAACAGTATTTTGGGCTGTGAAAAATAAAGGTTTGCAGGATTGATATAAAAGGTAAAATTGTTTAGTGCCAAGAAATCAGAAAATGGCATTTCAGCACTGATCAGGTTTTTCCATGAGAGGGAGAAGTTTGTTCTGCAAGGGGATGCTGATTTCATGACATTTTGCCCTTTATTAATAATTTGTGAGGTTAATGTTAATTAGCATAAAATTATTGTAAACATATGAGGTAGAAAGGGAGAAGTGAGTATTAAAAATAAACAAGTCCTCATGCTTCATTAATTTGGACTAATTTTGAGGGAAGGAAAAACACTGAGGACAGCTGACTTCCCTTAACCCCAGCAGCTTTTACCTCACATCCAGAGGGCTTTCTCTGCATAAGTGCTCTTCTTACAATATATTACTCCTGGAGCAGGTTGTGCCTTTTAGAAGGCATTCATTGGAAATAGAAGGATGGATCTTTACAAAAGTTACAGTCTTGACAGATTTATATTCATGCTGTCTTGTGTTTCTGAAATGAGTCAATATGCACTGGGGAGGAGGTTTGGAAAGTATGCAAATAGTGAAGGGATAATTTGTTTAAGGTCATCTTTCAGAGTCTTACTGACCATTTAGTGAGTCACAGCCAATTTTTCCAAGCCCTAATGCCATGATCATGGGAATTCAGCAGCAAGCCAGCTTTAAGAATTTGCTTCTCAGGAGAGGATTTCCTCTCACCTGTGGGTGAGCATAGGAACCGATAGCAGCAGCAGCTTTCTGACAAGATCAGCTTCAACCTGGAGAACAGATCTGTGTGCAGAGAAAAACACAGAGCAGTGAGGGCAGTGTCTGCTTCCCTCATTTAATGGGAGCAAATAAGCACATTCTCTGTTGTAGGCATGTGATCCCTGTCACAGTCAGTCTTCCTGTTAAAACAGGCTGTTTCAGAGTACAATAATATGTCATCTTTGCTATTTGCTCAGCTATCAATGATTAGCAAGCACAAGAATAAAAATGAATAGAGATATTCCAGAACAGAATTTTTCTTTGCACTTATAACTTATCCCTCCTCTCCTGCCAAAAAAGGAAGTTTAAATTTCATTGAAAATCTAGTCTTGCTGTGAAATTTTGGAATATATCTCAAAATATATTTTGGTATATATCTCAAAATATAAATTTGGTATATATATCCAAATGTATCTCAGTACCAAAGAGTTTTAATAGAATTAAATTCAATTTTATTAAATAGGATGTACTTACTGTGAATCTTTTTTCTGCTTTAAATTTTAGATTCCACAACATATGCACATTTTCTGTTTAATGCATTTGACACTGATCACAATGGATCTGTAAGTTTTGAGGTAAGTGCTGCCATTGCTTATTTCTACAAAATTGCATACTTTGGCATTCCTTGTAATGAAGTCCAGTTTGGTGGCTGGCTCACATTAGGAAAAATTTAGCTGATGTGATTCAAGTTTCAAGTTTTTCCAATGTAATAACAAAAGTCTTTACTTTACAGTTATATATTCCATAACAGTAACTCAGACTGTGCTACTACATAATATCTTAATAAATCTGTCAATTTAAAAGGTAACCCAATTTATACACAAGTTACCTAAAATAGTTCTTCCTCTCTGCCTTTGCAAGATGAGATCTCTGAACTACAACTAATGTTATGGGGATGACTCAGCCAAAATCGTATTTTTCATACTTAGTTTCCAGAAAGTTCTAGAAAAAGCCTTTAAAGCAAATGTTTTAAAAGCACAAGAGCTGGAAATTCATTCTTCCTCAATTTAACTGCCCAGTCTTTTTTCCCAGCTTTGCCTTTCCTTGGTGAGGCTGATGTCATCCACACAATGTAATATGGAAAAAGGGGACCTTACTGCAATACTGCAGATGAGAACAGGGTGTACAAAATACTGCAAAGGAGATAATATTTTAAGCTGTAGAATTAAAAAAAAAAAAAAAAAAAAAAGAGTGTTCAGTTGCACAAGGATATGTTTGTTTTGTCATATTTTCTTTGGTTTTGATTACAATGAACTAATTATTTCCTTATAACTTTTGATTGGATTGTGATAATACACTGACTTCAAATTTAATGAAATTTCCTGTACATGTTTTTATGATTTATTTTAGTGAATGATGTTTTGAGGTCATACAGATTTTTTTTAATATAAAAATAATTAATTGATGTAAGAGGAAGAAGACTTGCCAGTCAGGTGCAGTGATCAGAAATCTATACCCTAAACTAAGACTATAATCAGATTTGGTTTTATCACTATTTGCATTTATTTAAAAACCCCACAAACCCTATCTGCCTTTTTCCAGGCAGAAGAAGTCAGTGGAATCTATGTGAAACTAGGAGAAGGAATGGAGGATTAATTCATGTCTTCTGTACATAGGCTTCATATGCAAGGATTCTTCTGATCTAATCACAGAATCATAGAATGGTTTGCATTGAAAAGGATCTTAAAGATCACTCAGTTCCAAAGCCCTTGCCATGGACAGGGACACCTCCCAGCAGACCAAGCTGCCTCGTCCAACCTGGCCCTGAGCACTTCCAGGGATGGGGGATCCGCAGCTTCTCTGGGCAGCCTGTGCCAGTGCCTCATCACCCTCCCAGTAAAGAACTTCTTTTGTATATCTAACTTAAGCTTCCCCTCTTTCAGTTATAGCAACAAGCAGGCACATTGAGAAAAATTATTTTTAGAAAGAGTAGATGAAAAGTATTTCTGCAATTATCATTTAAAAGAATGGGAACAAAAGAAATCTTTTGTATCGTTTCTGGTCAATTTGTTGACACTTGTATTTCAGGCAGAAAGTCTTAAGAAATACACTGGATTTAGAGTGTTTTGATTATCTCAGAGTGAATGTTTGTGCATGAAAAAAGGGCTTTGGAATAAAATGAATTAGGAAAATAAAAAGCAGAAGTGCTGAACTTTTGTTCAATATCAAGGCAGACATGAGTGATCCAGACTTTCATATTATTTGCACTAAGTTTGAATCCAGCATAACTCTACTGCTGTCAAAAGACTCTTGCTTCTGTGTCCTTGTAGCAACATTATACTTACAAGCTGCATGATGGCCATTCTAAAAGCATCCTCCTGAAGTTAAAAATGTATGGGGTTTTTTTTCCTAGTTATATGAAAATAGCTGCAAAATGTAGAAGAAGATATTGCGAAATGTGCAAAATGCAATAATCTCATTTTTATACTGCTCCTTTTAATCCCAGGTGCAGCTGTGCCATTTTTTTTCTATTCCAATCTTTATTCTAGTTTTCTAATTTCCATTAGAAAAACAACAAAAGTAAACAGCTTAAAAAGTAGAGTAGTTTAGTAGTTTGGAGGAAAAAAATAATCATTCTTTCCAAAGTACTTTCTATATCGAAGTGTAGGAGTAAGTACAATTTTATATAATTACCTATGATGAAAACACTCTGGCTATCTTCTGTATAAAAAAAAGATTATCAAAATCTGAAATGGCAGCAAAATTATTTTGTTGATAAAAATGACTTTTTGTTTATGCGTTGTACTCTCAATTTCCCATGAAGCAGTGGTAGCTGGAGTTTCAGTGAAAAAAAGAGAAATTGCTTTAGCTTTTTGCCCTTTTTGCCCTTTTTTCCTCAAATTTTCAACCATCAACAATGAAAAGTTAGATCTGAGCACAACTACTTAAATGTACACCTCAACTGACATTTCTTGGTGAGATTGCTTGGTCCGTAGAATTTTGTCATCCCTAAATCTGTATGCTCTTTGGTAATGAGCCAGGATCTCTAAGTCAAGGATTTATATAGCATAAAAACCAGACTTATAAAATTAGGTGCTTGAATTTATTTCTCCTTATCCCATTATTGTATTGAGACTAGTTTATTTCATTAGTTTTGTGAACTAGATTTGTTTTTATATGACAGAGTTTCTGAAGACCCAGTGACCCAACTATTGGGGCTCTTTGGGCGTATTAGTGAAGTTCTTTTTTTCATTAGACAGAGACGGATATAAAAGCAAGGTTTTCATTTGCTGCATGTATATTGTCATTGAGCCAAAATGAAGATTTGGCCTCAAAGCTATTTACATGGTCAGAAAAATAGAGGCTAATTAACTTTAGATATATTTATATATAAAGCTCATTGCACACACGTGCAAATATCCAAATCAGGATCCTTCATTTGTTGTAAATGCAGATTAAGGTTGTTCTAAATGTGACCTTGCTGAAAGTCATTCAATAATCCCACAAATTCTCAGTGCCTTAAAGCACAATGCTGTGCCCAAACACAATGGAGATGTTTAAAGACTTCTGTCATATTTAATCCAAACCAAACTTATATTGGGTAATAAATTAGCAAGCATGCTAACTCACTTCTCTAGAGGAGTACAGTTCTTAAGATCAAACACAACTTCATATTTCATTAATAATAAAAGTAGTGTCTATGGCGCTATTATGAAGGCAGAGGTTAACTAATTCACAGAATCATAGAATGCCTTGGATTGGAAATGACCTTGAAGATCATCTCGTTCCCACCCCCCTGCCATGGGCAAGGACACCTCCTACTAGACCAGGTTGCTTGGAGCCTCATCCAACCTGACCTTAAACACTTCCAGGAACAGGGCATTCACAGATTCTCTGGGCAACCTGTTCCAGTGTCTCACCATCCTCACAGTGAAGAATTTCTTCCTAATAGCTAATTGTCAGTTTAAAGCCATTCCCCCTTGTCCTGTTCCTACATGTCCTTGTGCAGAGTCCCTCCCCAGCTCTTTTGTAGGCCCTCTTCAGGTAATGAGAGGTGCTTTAAGTTGTCCCTGGAATCTTCTCCAGGCTGAACAAGCCCAACTCTCTCAGCCTATCTTCATAGCAGAGGTGCTCCAATCCTCTGCACTTGTTCTAGCAGGTCCATGTCATTCAGCCCCTGAGCTGGAGGCAGTATTCCAGGTGGGGTCTCATGAGGGCAGAGAAGGGCGGCAGAATCACCTTCCTTGACCTTCTGGCTGTGTTTCTTTTGATGCAGCTCAGGTCATGGTTGGCCTTCTGGGCCACAAGCACACATTGCTGGTTCATGTTGAGTTTGTCATCAACCAATATCCCCAAGTCCTTTTCCTCAGGGCTCCTCTAAATCCATTTTCTGCCCAGCCTTTATTTCAGCTTGGGTTTGCCCTGATCCAGGTGCACGATATTGAACTTGGCCTCATTGAATTTAATGAGGTTCACAAGCATGATTCTGTGGGTTCAACACAATAAGGTTTGTCCATGTCATGAAATGAGCTAATTTTTCTTAGTACAAGTGTGATCTCATAAGCATTTTAACACCATCTGATTTAAAGTAGCTACAAAGAAATGCATTTCCTTTTGGGAGCAGTTCCTTCTCTGTGACCTTTGTTTTACATACACCAGGCCTCCACCACTTCCGTGACACTACTTGATTCCTTTTCAAAATCCTAAAATATAAATTTAAAAATGGATTAAGGTTCCTGCCTACCTACTTCTGGCCTTGAAAAAGACATAAAGAAACACATGACCAGGTCAATAATTTTAAGCTTTGCTATAGATTTGAGACAGCACACTAATAAGCTTGTTAATTAATTTATTAATGAAGTAATTATCCCCAAAGATTTACTGAGAGATAAAGCAATCAGAAAGTCATCAACAACCTTGCTAGGAGATAATTAATCACTGCTGAAAAAAACCCACAAATACAAGTTCATCCCAGATCACAACCAGACATTCTCTACCGCTGTAGGGCAGAACAGAAATGTCAGCAGGCTCGGAGTACACAGAGGCTCTGGTACAGGTGCAATGACACTGCATTTTGCAACCCTTCAGTGAGACATCTCCCTTTCCTGAAGAATCAAAATTAGGCACAGAAGTAGGTCTTAACAGGTATTAGCATGCTCTGCAGGAAACTGGCAAGTTTCAAACAAACAGGAAGTTGTGGAAAAGAGTAAAGGCAAGTCCCAAGGCAGAGACTTTTGTGTTTCTAACTTCACTATCACACACTGAAGAAAGACCCAACTTAGAGCTGTCTCAGCTCAGACTTCCTGTTTTAGGCTCTTTTGTCATCCTAGATCAGATGCACCTGTCTCCATTAGGTGCTCAGCTGAGCAGGACTATCCCTCTCAGTGGGCAGTGGGGCATTCTCAGAGGATGTATGTATCAGAGCATAGTGAAATTTTCTTTAAAAAAACCCCAGATTCTAAAAGTAGAATTCCTCTCTCCCTAGAAATTATATGTCTAAACCAGGACGGAAAACAGCATCTAAGTGCTCTAATATGGTAATAGGGACTTGTATTGATGCTCTTTGCTAAATTGTGTGCCAGATTCGTGCATCACTGAGTTGTTGGTTACATGCATAAAGATGGGAGCTGCTCCCTGAGTTTAGCTGCTTCCCTCTGCACTGCTGCTTTACTGTGGTTTTCTGCACTGGATTCTTAGTTTAACAGCTGGAATGGCTGCACTGCTCCTGACACACACATTGCCTTTCACTGTACAGAGCATTGTCCTGTTCAATGCTCTAGCCCAAAATATCCTGTGGATTTGGGCTATATCCACTGAATCAGATACTATATTTCTGTGTGATTATATTACTGTGTTCTTCAGTTGCTTGAAACTGAGTATGTAGAAAAGACATCCCATCCTAGCCAGTCCTTATCCAGCTCATCACAACTCCTTATTATGAAAAATCCTTTCTGTTGTTCCTGAGATGACTCCTGCACAGCACTCAGACAAAGGCAATGCACCTGAATTATGTGTGATCCCAAAACATGTTGATGCAATAAGGAAGGAGATGACTCACTGCTGTAATGTTTAGAGCACATACCCGGAAGGTTTTTGAGTTGTCTCTGCTTTTTAACAATCCCCCAATCCCGTGAAAAACAATATGAAGTCAAGAGGGTTTTTTTCAAACCGATGATAGAAGGGTAGCCTTGGAAATAGGGGTAGAAATGATTCTGGGAAGCCAGCAAACACAGGTGGTGCATCACAGAAAGGAACAAAGAGAATTGAACAAGAAAAGGAAAATGGATTTATTTTAGATAAAATAACTTTTAAAAATGTTGCTCTGCCTAAATAAAAATAAATTCATAATCCTTACATATAATCTAAGGAAATAATGCAACTGGGACCTTCAAAAAGGACTTAAGGAGAAGATACATCAAGAATGTAAAACCATGCAGAAAAGGTTTAAAGACATTGTACTGAATTAAAAAGGTTAATTGCTAATGCTGTAATGTGATCAAATCTGTTCTGAATTTCTTGAACAATTTAATGTTTAATAGTACATTGTTAAAGGACTGTTTGGAGATTTAACCCTGTGACCTTCAACTAGTCACTGAGATGTAGACAAGATGAGCAAAATTCTTTCAAGATTGATGTATCCATTTCCCCCAAAGGGCACATATACCAATAAGACAGAATTTTTTGACAGACTAAGAAAACCCAGAGCATGCCAATTGAATTGTTAAAAAGACTGAAGCTGTCAGAGAGTTGTCTGTGCCTACTAGACCACGTGAGTCCATGATACCTGTGTATACTTCAGTGTATCAGGTATATTTATTTGACTTTGCAGTACACCAGGCCTTTTAAATTTATGTCTAACCTCAGTGTAGTCTTTTCCATTGTTCCTGCATTAGACAAAATGCAAAACCTTGCTGGTGCAAATAAGAAGTCTTTTGACTTTTATTGTCTCTACTTTAATGTTACTCTAACACTTCCTGTATGCCATTGCAAGCAATGTAGAAAGACACATTTAAATGTACTTGCCATATTCTGCTCAACATATTATGAAGGCAGTTTCACAAATTTATGGGTTCATATGCTTATCAAATAAAAAGAGGTGCAGGAGATGGTTAGGGAAAAAAACCCAAACAAGCTATTGTTTAGAAAATACTAACATGCTGAGAAATATAGAAGAGAGGTGATGGGAGCTAATATTTTCTCCAATCTGGACGATGCTCACTAAATGTAAAAATGAGGTTTGTGCTGTCAAAACAGTACTTAATATGAAACAAAAATCTATAACTACATATAAATAATCTCAAAAGCTTCTGATTCATTTCTGTGGAATAGCTCTGCAGCAATGGAGCATTGGTGGGTCACAAAAACATTAAAATGGCGCATGGACATATAATATATTTATTATTCCCTATCACACTTCCAATAAGGGTAACAAGAATTGAGGTGTGCAGTGTCATCCATGAAGTTTGAAATGTTGACTGCAGCAGATTGATCTAAGAGGTCTGGGAACCACATATTCCACTTTAACAAGGTAGAGATTTAACAAGAATTTAATGTTCCTTAGTACATAGTTCTCCCCAAATTGGTCTCCTGTGCTTAGATAAATCTAACTACCATTTGAGCTTTTCTTGGACCATTAAACCATGGGGATGGCTTTTTCCTGGTATTCACTTCAACAGGAACTGCTTATGTGAGACATTAGGCTTTTCAGAGGATACAACCACTAACAGAAAATTATGTTTATTTTATAGAAAATTACTCAATTTACTTATTAATTATAAGTGTAGGAAATAGTGCCTAGATTGTTAATCCAGATATCATTAGCACTCACAGTGAAGCAAAAAAATTTGAAACAACACGTTTTTTCATACTTCTGACAAATGCATTATTCTGGATTTCTGAGTTTTTGAGGAAAACTGCTCATTTCCAAACTGACCAAGACCTTTTGTTGATTTAGGATTTTGTTATGGGTCTCTCAATTTTACTCCGAGGGACAGTACAGGAGAAACTGAACTGGGCTTTCAACTTGTATGATATAAATAAGGATGGATATATAACTAAAGAGGTAAGGTCTACTTCTTACTGTAGTCACTGAAAGTAAAGGTTGTTAGCTAAGTCCTGCATTCAGAGAAGAATGGTTTCATTATCAAATTGAATGTGTCAACAAGTTATCAGATATTATGAAGTTAGACACACTAAAAATTAAACTAATTGTCTCATTTTAAAGGAATATATGAACACTGAAAAGAGAAAATCTTTACAGAAATTGCAAAAGTTCAGAATTTTTCAGAAATTATGTTTCTGAGCATAATAGGTGCAGAAATAGTTGGCTCCAACTTATGCCTACGTATTTGCCCATACAGTTCCTAGAATAGATTGGTAGGATATTTGGACAAAAATTAATTAAGGATGTGGGCAATAATAATTGTTACTTATTTTATTAATCTACTTCTAATAATTTTTACTTGAAACAGGATTTATAAAGAAAGATTCCTACATCTTTTCTTCTGCAAGGATTCAAATACATACTTAAAATAAGTGGCATTTCATCAAATATATGGAGTTTTTTTATGTGGGATTTATGCAAATATATAAATTACAGACTAAATGAGCATTTGATCAAATATATGGAGTTTTTTTTATGTGGGATTTATGCAAATATATAAATTACACTTATAATTTTGCACTTTTTAGAAAACAAGTTCATTATAAAAGAGTAATGTATAGGATAATTTCTTAGCATACTACAAATTATTTGTTTTTATAATTATTAAAATTTTCACAAGCCACTCAAAAGTCAAAGATTATAATATAAAAGGAGGACTCTGCATAAGTGTGTACATGGGTGTTTTTATTTTCTTCAGGGAAAATAAGTTCTAAGAAGGTGATGTGCTTTGGCCATTCACTTGCTATTACAGAACTTCTTTTCCCTTTTATTTTTATTCATAAGATATTGGGAGATTCTTCCCACAATCCATGAACTTGCACATACTAAAAATCATTTAAAGGTGAAATCATACATCTATGAAAGCTTAAATCAGATGCTAGAATTGCTAAGAATTTCTAAAATGCAAATTCTAAAAAATTATGTTCTGAGTTAAAGCAGTGGACATTCCAGAAGTCAAAGAGCAGAACTACTGTGTCCAAGTAGAAGGTCATCTGGAAGAGGCCAGGGAAGGGGCAGTGCAGGAGCCCCTCGGGGTGATGGGTGCCCGCACTGTCAGCAGCTCCTTGCACCCCCCACCCTGGGATGCTCATCTGGGGATTCGCCAAATGGTGCAAGTTTTTCTGAGGTGCTGGGGGAAATGCACATTACATTGCAGAAATGTAATTTTTTCCTCTGTAGGAAATGCTTGATATCATGAAAGCAATATACGATATGATGGGGAAATGCACCTATCCTGTTCTCAAAGAAGATGCACCTCGACAACATGTGGAAACATTTTTCCAGGTAGGTCACACAACACAGAAGCTGAAAAGACTGCTCTGTGATCAGATAAAGATTTTCATTGTTATGACATATCCTTCCAGTTCTGTAGATATCCAATTCTTTTCTATTCCCTGTGGTTCCATTCCAAGTTTCCCAGACCTACTCATCACACCCTGTTTTTTCAACAAAAGCTCTTTGAGCATAGTTCCCTTACTATGGCTTTTGGACTGGTAGTTCCTAGGCTGACTTATGACTGAAATGAACAACGAAAAGGACTTGTTTCACACAGGAATTCAGGAGGAGAAACATACTGTGGTGGGTTGACCCTTCCTGGATGCCAGGCACCCACCAAAGCCTCCCTCTCACTCCCCACCTCAAATGAACAGGGGAGAGAAAATCTAACAAAGGGCTGAAGAGGGAATCATTCCTGATGGCTCAGCCTTGGCCAGCAGCAGGTCCTGGAGCTGGCTGGCATTGGCTCTGCTGCATGTGGGGGAAGTTTCTCACAGAAGTCAGCCCTGTAGCTTTCCTGATACCAAAGCTTAGCCACACAAACCCAATTCCCATACTTTTTCTTTCTGTTTCTTTTTTTTTTTTTCTTCATACAGAAAATGGACAAGAACAAAGATGGAGTAGTTACCATAGACGAATTCATTGAGAGCTGCCAGAAAGTAAGTATTCAGTGTTAAGTACTGAATGTATATCTGTTGGCTATTTCTATCATAGCTCTTTACAGATTTCTGGGGTGTCAGTGAGGGTGATCTTTATAACAGAGACAGCATTTTACCAAGGTAGAGTATCTATGTACACCATTACACAGAAACTCTGAACAGTGTAAATAAATTTGTGGCCTGAATCTGCAGAAGAGCTGTTATATACAAGGTGTCATTGCTTATTAGACAGCTGTGCCAATATCCTTTCTCTATTTAATAGTGCATTGTTTACACTTGGTGGAAAAAATTTTCTTCACATTCAGCTAAATATTATTTCTATCTTCTGCCCAATGCTGGGTCACACCATTCTGTCACAACTGGCATATAATCATGGCAATAATAATATTGCCTGAAAATTTGTCATCCATGGGTGAGTTTCTCAGTGAGTTGTCATGTGCTTATAAGCAGAGAAGCCTTCTAAAAAGAGACTGCAAGGGGCTTGCAAAGTGTTGGATGGCAAGAGTTAACACCAGACAAATTTTCTCAAGGCAAGGGTGTGAACTGATTGTAATTATCAGCCACAAGTCTTTATGCTACCCAAGTAGCTGTCAATTTCTTGACAGCAAGAAAGAAATTCTTCCAGCAGCTCCTGGCCCCTAGAGCCAGGATGGAGAACTTCTGGAGCAGGAGTTACAGACTGTTTTCACTTCTCTGCCCTTCAGAAACAAGACTGTTCTCAAACCAGTAGATGATATGAAGAAAGATAAGTTGCATTTTCATAAATTTAAGGAAATCCTGTTAATTTTTCAGTTAAAAATTGCAAGAAAAAAGAAACATGATAGAGTATAAAATAAGAGTGACTAGCCTTTGGCATGATAAGAGGTTCATAGAATTGTAGAATACGTTCAGTTGGAAGGCATGTACCAGGACCATCAAGTCTAATTCTTGGTTTTAACAGGACACCCCAAGATCAAGGTTGTTGTGTATAGTAAAGCATCACACTAGACACAGGGAATATGATAGGCCTGATTACATTGTGTAAATTGATGTGGCAAAGAAGCCTGATACTATTTGTTACAGTGACACATTTAAGAAGTCCTAGTAGCGGTCTACTGGTACCTTGCCCAGCAGACTGATTGATACAAAGCTGATAGAGACCAGAAATATAACCCCTCCATCTTCTATATCAAGAACAGAGTAATAAAGAGACAGACAATAACAAGACTATCGAGATAAATGCATTTAATGCATTTTTTCGTTTTTTAACTATTTGGAATAGGGAAATCTCTAGATGCTCAAAGATGCTCTAGAAGCAGTCTATTTTTACATGCATCTGTAGCTATTCATTGGAGTTGCTTTTTTGAGCGCAGCTATCTAGTAAGCAATGCTTTGTTTGATTTTAATCCACTGATTTTAGAGGATGAAAGACAGCCAAGAGCTCTGCTAACTGTGGCTTTTCTGTGTATCCTTAGCAACGGGCACTGGGCAGTGTCACATTTGTCAGCAGTGCTCTGTTGCATTGACCGTGGTTCCAGCTTGTCAGTCTTGTTCAATACCAACAAAAGTAATTTCCTCTGCTAACACAGTGTGATCATCAGAAACAGAGATGAGATTCATTTCCCTGCTGAAGTCTGTAGCATTCTGGAAGTTTAATGTCACATTAATCTGCATATGACAGCAATTAAGGTGATGGGCTGAATGATTCATTTACAAAGAAAATTAATACCTTCAGTAAGGAAATGCCTGCTCTCCTTATCCAGTGCAATTCAGCCCCTCAAGTCTGTTAGAAGATTTATTTTCCTGTTTTAAGTATTCAGAATACACGTGAGAGAGATGCTCTCTCAACTGGGACATGATGGAGACACAATGAAAGCTACAGAATAGTACAATTGTCATCATGCTACTTATCTCACCTTCCCTTGCTTTTAACTTCAATGGTGGCTACGGTTTTTTTGACACAAAAAGTATCTAAATTTTTGTCTCTCTGCCAATTAAGAACTGATCTTCTTTTAAGACTTCTGCAGGTCTCCATCTTCACATTTCCCAGTCTATACACACAAGCAGAATTGCTCCATGCCAGGTGCACATTCCAGGACTGACCCTTGTTAAACTTTGTTTTACCTTTTGCTCAACCTGGAAATGAAGCTCAAGGTAATTTTAGCAAGGAGGTAATATAAAAGGGGATCTTTATTTTAAGGCCTTCAGGAGCAGTTATGGAAAGATGTCGCAAAGCCCTACACCCCCCAGGGGTGAGTACGTTTTTATAGCTTTTAGAAAATTAAAATAATTGATAAAAGGCAGCAATGAGGTGGACAAGTGGTGATGCGACACCCCCCCCCCCCCCCCCCCCCCCACCCCCCCCTACCGCTCCC